TGAATTTATCATTTCATCTACAAGTTCGGCTTTAAACTGAGCTCCTACATCTTTTCTAAGATTTACTTTTTATATCAAAGTAATGACTCTGACCTCCATAGTATTGTAAAATGGTGGGGTTTTTTTGTTGGTCTGCTTAAGAACCATATTTTCTTGGCTCGAATATCTTCTGTTACATTTTAAGAGTATTTTTTGCATCAGAAGATAATAACCTTCAAGAATTTTAAAACAGGTGTAAGTCTGAAAACTACAGTCACAGAAATTATTCCTCTATTTCATCATTTATAGCTCAGAGGATGTAATAACAAAACCCATAAATGCAAGACTTTTTTTTAAAGCTTGCTACTTATGATCTTTGATTATAAATTACTGCTGTATTTTCAATTAACATTGTATAAAATATTTTATAATACCACTTTCCATGCAAGCAAGAGTGAAACCTTTAAAAAGCTGGATATATATGGTGAATTGATATTTACTGTCACGTATCGAAATACATTTATTTCAGACCAATGCTCTTATCTGCAGATGTTAAAAAGGTAATGCGGAAGACAGATTCTTCTAGTTATTATACTTAACTACAAAGTGCCTGCTATGGGAGTTGGCAACAATTTTGATACAAGATCAAGCAACATTTGTTCATTGATTGCTTCTTGTATGAAAAGAGACAAATCTTCAGCTGACATTCAGTGTAACTCCCTGGAAGACAACAGAGTTGTGCTGTTTTACAACTGAGGATGTGGTTCACCATGGGACAATCCACCTCTTCCCCCACCCCAATTTGCAGTGAATCTCACTGTAGGCTGTTGGCTGGTACTGAACGAGTAAAGGTGGAAGGAGAAAAGAACGCAAGTTGTCCATTTTCACAAGGAAGCCACTTCATGTTCACAGAATATTTTGCTGCAATGATTTGATGTATTTCTCCCAAACATCCCAGATAAGATATAATTTTTTTTCAGGCTTTGGGGCAGAACAATCTTCTCCACTTACCTGGTGGTTTTGAACAGTTAAGCCTCATGCAGATTCATTCAACACAGTTAATTTAAATTTGTGGTCATTTCCTTTCTGCATCACTTTTCATAATAGGCATGTGCATCCCTGGCAAACATTTCAACAAGTGTACTTATAAGTAAAGTTTAGTTTTAGTTTTAGGGTTTATTTATAACTTCATGTTCGAGTAAAAGGGTAAATCTTGATGAGCAGATATTAATGATCTCTGCTTAAGATCATACAGTTTCTAAATTGACTCAAATGCCTCAAACGTTTGTTATTAAATCAGTATTTTATTATTATTATTATTATTATTATTAAAAATAAACCCAGATTTTGTTTCCAATTCTCTGTTATTTATTACCACTACCTCTGGACAGCTGTCTATTATTTTAAACCCTAATGCTCCCCTGGTGTTGTCCCTTTTTTCCTTAGATTAACACAGGAATCCCTAACGTGGGATCTCAGCTGCTGCCGAGGCAGTGCTAGGCATTTCATGCGCTGCTGCTGGAGGAAGAAAAGTGCTGCGCTCCATGAGAACAGTGAGGAAGCAGCAGGTCTCTACTACTTCTGCATGCTGCCTCAGACCTACTGGAGCATCTTCTTTCCTCAGAGCAGCTCTGGGTCCAACACTGCCAAGAACTGGGACTAGAAAATAGACTGCAAATCCCAAAGTAGTAGGATTTGATCTAAAATGAAGTAACATAATTGGCACATTTGGCCTCTGGCATTACTTTTCTTACTGTAGTATTTCTGACTTCCTAGGCTGCATAACTACGTTGAAGAGCAAAAGGCAGAGACATCTGTGCTGGTCATCAAAGTATCTTAAACCTTGGAAACTGCTTATAATCCATTCTGACTTGCTTGAGATACATACAGAAGGCAAGTGTCCATTAGAAAAGTTAGAATTTACATTTGAAAATCTGCACATATGACATGCTATTTTTACTGATACTTAATTTTTAGATGACTTCAAATTATCTTCAAAATTGATAGGTTGGTGCAGTCCTACATTTTCTATACAGACTAAGAGACAAAGACAAAAGGTTACTAATGATTGCTATTTATTTTGTTAAGTCAATAAAAAGTGCATAGTACAAGCCCTTTATCCCAATCCAAGTACTCAGTAAAAGATTACTAGGAAACCGCAAATGGCACAGATGATTTTTTGTTTGGCATAATTCAGACATTTTAAACCACCGATTTACATTAGGTACATCACATCATCACTCTTCCTTTTTCAATCATGAACATTACAAGGCTAAGTGATCTGCAGACAATACATGAATACATATGATTTCTCATTTCAGAGTATAATAATTGTGTTAAGCAGACTCTAAAAATACTATTGTTTTAACAAAGTTCTAAGCTAAGGTATAATTGTAAACTTCCCTCCGTGTTTCCCAAGTTGCCACAACTTGCATCTCTTACTAACCAAGCTTAAAACCATCATTACAGAATTAATCATATCCCAAAGCTTCACATACCACTAATCTCTTCCACATTTCTCAAAATTTACCATGAACATCTGTAACCATGACACAATTATTTCATCGCAAACTACATCACTAAAGGCCAGATTTCTGCCACTCTTACTAAAGCTGCTACTAGTACATTATCTCAGAGTAGTCCCACAAACTTCAGTGCAACTACTTGATGAGTAAGGCACTATTTAACATGAATAAGAGTGGCAAAATACAGTCCTACAATTAGTTACTTTTATTTTAATTAAGAGTGGTGATCTGAAGGTTATACCTTGGAGAGAGTATCTGAATTTAAAAGGCATATGTTTTGACATGGGATAGTGGCCTGGCTCTTTAGTAAAACATTTCACAATAAAATATTTCCAATGTTTTTTCTTTTACATAGAAAATTTAAAATAGCAATTTACATGAGGAAAGCATACATGTATAAAATCACTGGGACAATTACTTAGAGGATTTTCAAGCAAAGACACTTCATTTAAATGTAAAACACAACATTACTCTGAACAAAAAGTTCATTTGCCAAGACTGTGAGAGCTGGGTGCACATGGTGAGTTTTATAAATACATACACAGACATTTAAGTAAAGCGAGAATGATCCTCACAAGCGAGGAGCATCTGCAGTAAATCTCACCAACTTCCAATAGGATGAGGAGTGGCGCTCTGGCTGAAATGAAGCCCGTTTCTGTCAGCTTTTTAACCAACTGGAAGCCTGTTTTATGCATCCGATAGCGAAGAAGTCTGGCCAAAAAATTCTTGGAGAAAAGGTCATTGTAGGAGATTACATATATATTTTCTTGTTGGTTCAATAAAACGATGCTGTATTAGTTGTTCTGTTCAAAAGAGTATCCCAAACATAAACGTACACGGAAGGCAAAAAGCAAGCACAGTCAGATCGCTTGTCCCAGTGACATCTTTACACAGTGTTTGTGGCCTGTACACCATTAGCCATAATAGGACAAATTCTCTCAGCTTCTCTCCTGCAGCTCCATTGCTTTACATGGCACTGCACCAGTATCACTAAGAGCACCTGGCCCAATCTTCTTAATTTTTAAAAATTTTTAAACTTTTTTTACACATGCTCCTATGCTTGGGAGCACACTATTCCACAGAAATTCAAAGGGCAGTTACATCAAATCACAGAAGCCTTTCTTCAGGTCTACGCTATACCTTTACAAGGAGGCTGAGCTGGCCTGCCATTTACCCTGAGGAGGAAAACCCTGCGTCTGTCAACCATGGGATCTGATGTGAGATTTTTGTTAGAGCCTGTTAATACAAACCTTTATGCATCTTAACAGTTAGTCCCTTCAGCTCCGTAACTCAAGCCCTCACAAAATAAAGGTTTGCAGAGTAAGGCTTTGAATTCCCATATGTCTGTTCTACTGACCTTTACGGAAAGAAGCTTCATGTTGGTAACATAAAAATGTTCTTTACATTATTCTCATCAATTTTTCAAATTGATCAAGAAAAATATACAGTGTCGCTTTTCTGTACATCTTTAAAATGTTCTTAAATTAATGTACATAAAAAAGTCATTCCCATTTGCTACAATGGGAGATGTGCACAGGTATGTGCACAGCCACACATACGCACACATAAACACACCACACATACACACAAATATTAGAGGGAGAAGACATGCCATATGTAGCCACCTGCAAGTTTGTTATTCTACAGTTACAACCAGTAGATAAGGATGAAATGTTAAGAATTGCTGATAACATACAGGTGAAAAAACCTGAATATCTGGTATACGTTGTATACCGAAAGTTGGTAACCTCGGTAATCTCCTGGTATGATTTCATCCTGTCCAATATACATTACACCATGGCTAAAAACTTGTTAAGATACTAATTATTACAAGACTATATCAGGACAGAAAATTCTACCAAGTTCTTCTCACTAAATTTCTCTTTTTGTAAAAGTCTGTAAGTAACCAAATCTGGTTTTGTAATACATTTTTTGGACAACATATCAAATAAGATATATCATTTATTACTGAACAAAATTAAATTAATTTATTTTTTGGTGGTATAATCTCTTGTGTAAAGTTCCCAATATATGTGTCAAAGCTTTGACCGTGGCAATTATCTCATTCACTGCTTTGCGCACGCGCGCGCGCACACACACACACACAGTATAATTCTAGTGGACAATCCGTGCTTTTGCCAACAACCCTGAAAACTACGTTAGTGGTCCAAAGACCAGACTAAAAGCTGCTCTGAACCCAGGGCAAATATAAAATAATTTTAATTTTTTACCACCTAACTAAGCTAATAGTTGCAACTGTAATGTAACTCTCAAAAGCATACTGGAGAAAAAATATGGATTAATCTGAGGAAAGGTCAGTAACCTTCCATTGTTATAGATACACAGGGATTTTCTTTTTCTTTCAAAGCATATCAGAAATCACTGCAAAGAAATTAAGATCGTTGTAACAGAAAGAGACTGAGTGGAATGTCCACAGTAACGGTTAACAATCAAAAAACCCCTGCAACACCTTATCATTATTGAAATTACAATCTACTAGGAATTGTAATAACATACAAAGCAAAAATTAAAATTGAAGTCGCTAAAAGCAGTTCATGAAGATAACTGCTGAATGATAATTCTGCTCTATATAAATCAGAAAAGAAAACAGTATTGAATGGAGTCTAGGAGTAATCTGGTCACTTCGTTCATTTGGTCGTGCAAGGTTTTAGCTGCTGAACTTTTCCAATACTGAATGCTCTAGTCCACCGGTGGGGCTGGTGGTTCTTGTCCCTAGGGGGAAGGAAGAAGGAAAAGAAAGAAAAGAACCACGCACAGGATTAGAAACAGTGCTTCACGTAAGAGGATTTAGCAATAAAAGAAGAACTCAGAAGAGTTTCATTGTGCTTTTGTTTAAGCTTTCTTTTAAGATCTTTCAGTATCTCTTTCAGTATTCAGAGCACATGAGCATCAAAGAACAATACTGTTTCCTGCATCAGTAGGGATTTTTTCATGATCCCACATCTAGGACAAAGATCATCTTCCTAGTTTCATGCTGTAATTTTGTCTACTGACTTCTCCAAAAACTGTGATTTTCTCTTTGTACATAAGAAGGCAGGAGGCAGTTCCAACCAGGGACAGACGGTGTCCAGAGGACATTATGATCCACACTCAGTCACCCATGCCTGCTCCATCCCATGGCAGGCCTCACAGTTGGCCTTTGTGATTTTATGTTCACTTTGGTTTTACTCGTTTTCATTGTTAATAGAGTTCCAAGAAAATACAGGGAAAACAATGTAATGAAAAAATGACTGTAAGATAGTCTGTATTAAAACCAAATACATATACGTTATTGTGGAGTCTCTCTGCAAGGCACTTTAAGATACACTTACGTTATGTGGGCTGGTTGGCTTTCCGGCTGTGTTGGATCCTCTCAGATTACTAGGTCTCAGTAAGAACAAGACAAGTGCGATCATCACCCAGGCCATCATTATCATGGCAAAGCTGATGCCATTGTCAGTGGAAGAATTTGGTCCTGGCACTACAGGCAAGGAAAACTCAAGTTATAACACACAGCGACAGCAGAGTTCTTTCCCCAAAATGAAAACAAAAATGCAACACATGTCTCAGAAAAAAACTGAAATATTTTTCGATCGAGTTTTCTGATTAGTCCTTCCTTTTGGCCTGGAGACAAGTAATTCTTAGTGAGTGCTACACTGTTTTTTTAATCACATTTCTTATCTCTTTGAAAAGACAATCTATTTCATAAGATTTCACTGGAATTCTCAGAATTATGAATATTTCTTAGTTCACATTAACTTCTAATGAACTGGAGATGATAAACACACACTTTGTATGTAACAAATCAAACTTGATTTTTAAGAAATCTAACGATGCAAAATATATTCGTATTGGAAAAAGCCCCATCTATATGTTGGTGTTTGTTTTTTGCCTCAAATAAATAAAAGAATAAGACAGTTAGAGGGACAGGGTGCTAGCGAGGGTCTGCAGCCTGTTGTTCTGAGATGTGCTGGCTACACTGCAGCACACTTGAAGTCGGCGGGAGATGAGCCAGGAGCTACTGAGGTAATCGAAGCCAAGAGAGAAACACCAGAAAAATATCTCAAAGGAATTAAAGGGTGTTCCTCTAAGAAGGTGACACAGCTGAAGTGCCTCTGCACCAGTGTATGCAGCACGGGCAACAAACAGGAGGAGCTGGAAGCCACTGTGCTGCTAGAAAGCTATGACCTGGGTGCCATTACTGAAACTTGGTGGGATGAATCCCATGACTGGTGTGCGGCTATCGATGGCTACGGGCTGTTCAGAAGGGACAGGCAAGGAAGGAGTGGGGGAGACTTTGCCCTCTGCATCAAGAAATGGGTCGGGTGTGAAAAGCTGTCTCTGGAGAATAGCCAAGAGCAGGTTGAAAGTTTATGGGTAAGAATTAGAGACAGAGGCAACAAAAGGAACCTTGTGGTTGGTGTCTACTACAGGCCACCTGATCAAGCGGAGCCTATTGACCAAGCCTTCTTACTCCAGCTACCGGAAGCATCACGCTCGCAGGCTGTCACCCTGCTGGGGGACTTCAACCACCCCAACATCTGCTGGAAAAGTAGCACAGTGAGCTGTAGGCAATCCAGGAGACTCCTGGAGTGCATGGAGGATAACTTCTTAAGCCAGGCAATAGACAGCCCTACCAAAGGAGAGGCAATACTGGACCTGATAGTCACCAATGCAAGTGAGTTCATTGGTGACATCAAGATTGAAGGCAGCCTGTGTTCCAGTGATCATGCACTGGTGGAGTTTGCAGTCCTGAGGGATATGGGTCAGGCAAAGAATAAAGTCAGGACCCTGAATTTTAGGAAAGCAAACTTCCAACTGTTCAAGAAGTTAGTGAACAGGAACCCCTGGGAAACTGCCGTCAGGGACAAGAGAGCAGAACAGAGCTGGCAGATCTTTAAGGATGGTTTCCTTAGAGTGCAAGAGCTCTTGATCAGCAGGTGTAAGAAATCAGGAAAGGAGGACAAGAGACCAGCATGGCTGAGTTAAGACCTGCTGGTTAAACTAAAGGGCAAGAAAGAGATGCACAGGCAGTGGAAGCAGGGACAGGTATTCTGGGAAGAGTATAGGGACACTGCCCAGTTGTGTAGGGGAAGGGTTAGGAAGGCCAAGGTGCAGCTGGAGCTGAACTTGGCAAAGGATGGAAAGCATAATAAGAAGGGCTTCTACAGGTATGTCAGCCAGAAAAGGAAGGTCAAAGAAAGCGTACGCCCCCTCAATAAGCAAGACTGACAACCTCGTAACAACAGATGAGGAGAAGGGTGAGGTACTCAACAACTATCTTGCCTCGGTCTTCACTGGCGATCTCTCTTGCCACACCAGCAGTGTGTAGCCAGCAGGTCGAGGGAGGTGATTCTGCCCCTCTACTCTGCTCTTGTGAGACCCCACATGGAGTACTGCATCCAGCTCTGGAGCCCCCAACATAAGAAGGACATGGACCTGCTGGAGTGGGTCCAGAGGAGGGCCGTGAAGATGGTCAGAGGGCTGGAGCACCTTTCCTTTGCAGACAGGCTGAGAGAGTTGGGGTTGTTCAGCCTGGAGAAGAGATGGCTCCAGGACAGCTTTCCAGTACCAGAAGGGGCTACAGGAAAGCTGGAGAGGGACTTTTTATCAGGGACTGTAGTGATAGGATGAGGGGTAAGGGTTTTAAACTGAAAGAAGGTAGATCTGGATTAGATATTAGGAAGAAATTCTTTACTGTGAGAGACTGGAACAGGTTGCCCAGAAAAGCTGTGGATGCCCCATCCCTGGAAACGTTTAAGATCAGGTTGGATGGGGCTCTGAGCAACCCAATCTAGTTGAAGATGTTCCTGCTCATTGCAGGGGAGGTTGGACTAGATGACTTTTAAAGGTCCCTTCCAACCCAAACTATTCTATGATTCTATGAAGACTGAAGAGATGAAAGCTTACACTCCATTGTTCAGGCCCACACAGAGAACATGTTAATTCTAGTAAGAAGGTGGCAAACTAATGGTCATAATTTTGTTGGGTACTGTAAGTTATTTATTGAGAGTTTGTTTGAACAAGTGTCAGTGTCAATATGCCAGACCTACATGACTAATTGTCCAGGTCATTTGGCATTTCTGATAGTATCAAGGAAAATGTATCTGTCAGGAGGGGAAAAAGTGTTGAGGAGATAACATGAAAAAGTGAAGCCCAGGAATACAATATAGAAATTTTCATACAGAATGGCTGAGACATCACAGCATGGAAATAAAACTGAGAAAATCCCCTCAGACTGGAGATGGCTGGTTAGTCTTTTTGGATCAAGAAACTCTTGCAAATACCTGCACATTTGAAAACAAAAACTTTTCTCCTCTGAAACATAACTTCAAATAATCAAACTGTTGTCAGTTGAAGTGTAAACCAATGTATAGTTAGTTACCTATGGTACTCACATGGCTCATCAATTAATACAGAGCAATTAATACAAAGCTATAATGAATAACTTTCAGAAAGAGAAGAGCTATTCTATTTTATTACTCAAGTTGAAAACTTTAACATTCAGGAAATTCCACAGAGACACCCGTATCCATCAGATTTTTCACTTAACTCATTTGGATCATCTCATTATTCAATAAAGTCTGAATTCAGTACGAGTTGGAAGTTGTTCTTATTTAACATTTGCTAGATACCCAGTGAACTGTTGGAGTCAGTTATTTCCTTGAATGTTAATGCTGATACCAAAGAACCATGCTCATCACTGTCACACCGGGTAGCATTTTTAACAGAGGCTCTTCTGTGAAAGTGGTTTCTTCATAACACAGCTAAGACACAGCAGAGGGGCACTGCGGGGAAGCTTACAGCTATGCCATTCACAACACTGCTCTTCTATGAATAAGACTTCATGAGTTGCGGCTGTTGGACTGATGTCCTTTCCCGACATCACATGCACTCAAAAATGTCAAAGAAGAAAACAACATGTTGCTTCTCAAAGCCCAAACAGCACCATTAACTTGTACGAGCAAATGAAACTGCTGTATAGCTCTTGCCTTTTAAATGTCTTAAATATAGACATTTCAAAACTCCAGAAGTTGCTAAGGTAGAGGAATTTTATGATTAGAAGTATATACAATTACAAGTGAAAATTCTTTTGGAGATCTGAGTGAATAAAGGGTGCTGTACATGAGGAGAACGTATACTGCAAAAAAAAAAAAAAAGCTACAGCCTCTAATTCATTAAACTCTAACATTTAATTGATTCAGAAAGCATATGGAATTGTGCAGGTAAAAGTTTCGACCAGCAGTTGTGTTGAAGGAAAATATTATTGTTACCAACACGATATATCAATATTTTAAATCTTGGATGACCTTTATATATGCAATCCAGTCAACTAGCATATAATTTGGCATGAAAAGAACAACTGCTTTATGTTGAGGCTTCCAGACAACATTAATAGCCACCCTGAGACTACCTTCAGCAGCACATAAGACAGCCTTAGGTACCTGCTTTGGCACGTACGTTCAGTAGAACATAGAAAATTCCAATCACCTGCTAGGCTGGATTCCCCACACAATGCAGAGAAACAGGGACTAGTCAGGCTGCCTTCTGGAATTTTTGCTGAACCATAGCGCACTTTGGGTCTCTGGTTAAACAAGAGCTGGGGTATGTAAATGCTGCTAGGTCAGCTCATGCTACAGGGCAAGGAAGGGAGAAGAAGGAAACACAGAGGGAAACCACAGGCGTTTGTGCAAGGCACAATTTCTATCCAGCCTGCGTTGTAATATAGTTTGGATGGAACCAAATGTGCTGAAACCTGTTCTAAACTAAGTTAAGCAAGACAACAGCTTGGCCCTGTACTACCTACTCAAAGCATGCCAGATACTAAAACAGCCACAACACTGTTTACACTCTTCAAGTACCATTAAACCCACATCTCTCACAAATGACCATGTGTTTTAATAAGGACGTGAGATATTTCAGAATCTGTTACTTTAATCTCTCAACATAAGGACACGAGGATAAGCAAAATCTCACATAGCCGGGGTGAATCACACTTTTCAAAGCTTTGCATCACAAATCAAGAGAACAGACAAGAAGCTGTTTCAGCTGCTGGCAGCAGTAATATGTAGAAGACGACAATCTTTTGCTACCTCCATCACTGAGATCACAAAATAATCAGATAAGACCAGTTTATGGATAAAGAACAGTTGAGTGAAGATGAAACCAAGCAGGATGGAATTTATGCTGATAGGCAGAAGAAAAAAAAATATCTTATTTTTAAGAGTTCACAACCACAGTGCTTTACCTATAATTGATATTTTTGCAGGTAATTTAGAAGTGGTTTTTGATTCCTTAAAGAATAAAGGCTATCCTATAAGAGCACCAATATTTTTTAATATTTCCAAATGGCTAGAAGATTGTATTGTTCTGACCTCACAGAAGAATGTCCCTGACACCATCCATTTTGATGGATGGATCTGGTTATTAATCTCCAGTGCCTGGGAGACACCAACTAGTACAGAAAATAGCAGTACATAT